TTTGTTTTTTAAATTTACGAGGCCAAAAACGGAATTTTCGCTTCTGAGGTTCAAACCAGGCCTTGACAACGGGCCGGGCCGAGCCAGGCCCGGGCCCGGAAGCCAGGACCAGCCGACCCAGGCCCGGCCGACCCGGCCCGAAAGCCAAAATCAAGGCCCGGGCCGGCCGATCAGGCGGCCAGTCAGACACCTAGGGTCGAGAGGGTCAAAAAATTTTCCCCTAAGACCCAAGTTTTTTAATCGAAGTATAACGACCAAACAACTATCAACTATTCTTATTTTCTAACTATTAATAAACATAAAAACATTAGAAACTATATTTTGAAAATACAAACATGCCGGATCCGACCAATGGTAAAGCTCAGATAACCATTATTGACCGTTTGTAGATGCATTGTATAGTTTTTTTGGTGAAATATCGAACTATGGTGTTCAGAGAACCCTTGGATAAAGAAGTCGGAAGGAAATTATGCAAGAAGTGTCTTCTAGTCCATTCAAATAAAAAAATCAGAATTCCGAGCCCTACTAACCTAGCGCGCAACTCCCGGAGCACAAAAAAATTGAAGAATAGGGTTAGAGCCCAAAACCTAACAAAAAGAACCTAAAAAAAGTTGGAAAAGTTTCGAGAAATGCTCAAAAAAATTGAAAAATTCACGATTTTTGGCCGAAAATTCGCAAAAATGGCCTAAAAATCATCAAAATCGGGCCCGATCCGGCCCCGGCAGACCAGCACAGAAACCCAGGCCCGGCCCGGCCCGGCCCGGACCCCCAAATCAGGCCCGGGCCCCGGCCCGTATGGGCACTTCGGCCCGGCCCGGCCCGGCCTCACGGCCCGGCCCGTTGTCAACCCCTGGTTCAAACGGAGCGCTTTTACGGTGTTTTTCCACAATTTAGTGATGTTTAAAGTGAAAAACTATTTTTGGAAGTTACGAAAAAGCTATCACAATGCCAATCAAAAGTTTTTACCAAACGATGGCATTTGAAACTTTTAAGATTTCTACTTACGAAGGATTTCTAAATTTAGGCTCTAGCGGCTTCTTTTTCTCATAGGACGCTTTCGGAAAAATTAGTTTTAAGAAAAACGCATTTAGAAGCATGATTCTCACCTTCGCCTTGATTTCGAGCTTGAAAATGTTGGGATTTGTGTGGGCGGTGGGCCCGTAGTCGACCAAGGGTGATTTCACGTCGGTCGCCATCCTAAACGAAAAGTTAGAGTTTTCGAGTCGGAAGTGAAGCTTTAAACATAGAGATCAAGGCAAGAATACAGTAGGATAGGACCAAGGAAGAAGCAGTAAGTAGAAAGAAGCCAAGACAAAAAAGTATCGCCGAGAATGTAGCGTTCGGGGCCTGATAAAAGATTCCAGGGGGGAGGGAGCGCCTCACCGGCGACCCGAACAAATCCATATTTGAGCGGGGGTGCCCGGGCCAAAAGCAAAAATGCAGCATGTGGCATGCCTTTTTCGGGGCGGTATGGCGCTGCTTTATTTCGGCGCCGGTCTCGCGTTTTACGGTGGGACCCCCGGCGATGTCGCTTCGCACCTAGAACCAGGCCAAAACAAGCCCGTGTTCGGAATATAATTTCATAGGATTTTATTGGCCTTTTTCTGTGAAGGGAAGGGCGTGAAAACTAGGAATTTTTGGGTGCTGGATCGCTATACCTATGGGAGCAACATTTTAGCGGGGAACCAAAAGAAAATTTCTTTTCTAAGGAATATACATGCTTATCGGCGTTCCTGAGCTTCCTGAACTGTAATAAAAGTGTTGTTTTGGTTTTTTTTGTCATTTTCGAACGGCTAAAGCGCTCTAAAAACCTTTTTTTAATAGAAAAACGAAAGTTTTGCAATTTTAATTAGTTTTTTATCATTTTTATACATAAAAACAGCTAGGATTGCGATATAAATAAATAGGAGTTCTTGGATCACGATGGGATTAAAAACAGTTTTTGCCTCACCCCTCCCCCACCCCTAACGCTCCAGAACCAGTTCGGACCAAATTTCACCCCAAAAGTCCGAAGTTTGGCCAGAAATCCAATTTCCTCGACGAACCTGGCCCAACAAAACTGCGCGTGTAGAGCTTGGATCTGTTTGTGCCTGTAGAAGGGGAAAGCCTCGAGGAAAACGATGCTAATCGGCTAGATCAATATCGGAAATGGGCGGACTGCTCGAATTTCGGCGCACCCCTTGTAAGCCGTTGCATAAACAAGGCCAACCCCCCGTCGGTCATCCTCTAGTTAAAGGGGTTTGCAAGCGAACGGCTGATGAGGCGGGGTATAGACTACAAAAGAACGTGAGGCTTAGATCTACAAAATTTAACAAAGTATATTTTATTCTGTATTCCACGTCAGGGGACCTGATTTTCTCCGCGAAAGTCCAAAATTTTTTATATCAAAAGGAAAATTTATTTGGCAGGCGTTTTATACTATTCCGGAACATAAAAACGTACAGAAACGGCCTTCCTACGGAAAAACTGGCTCCCCCGGAAACCGCATTTTAAAGTTTACAAAACAACACTAAAAACTAGAGTGGCGCTTATTCAAATCAGATTTGAATAAGATTCGCAATAGTTCTGTAAATCAAGCCGATTTGATCGAATTGGAGCCGACCAAATCAAATTAAATCGATTTGATTTGAGTTCCAGCAGTTCAAATCAAATCCAGCCGATTTGAATAATTTGAATAAGACCTCATAGAAATGAATCCAACGCAACTCGTAATTCGTGCACCGCTCTTTCCCTATAATCTCTTACTGTGCTGCAGCTTTTACCTTAAGTTGGAGTTTCATCTGGGACTGAAAGCAGACTTGTGCAGAATTTTTCGCTGATTCCGGAATCCGCTTTCCAAATTTGCTGGGTGACTTTTATTTTGAAAGTTATACAGCAGTTATGGTAGGGTTTTTCACCAAAATCAAGGAACCGTATCGTTTTCGATTTTCCTGATCAATTTCAACTTCAAAATTGGCTAGAGATTGGCTAAACAAGCAGCTTAAAAATCAAAACAAGCTTTTTTTTACAAAATTAAATTTTCTTAGGCAAAAAGCAAATGAAAGATGCAGGGCGGGGATCCAAACCGCCGCCCTGCTCTTGGTAAGCGAGTACTTTGCCAATGCACCATGGTGCCAAACGGGGGGGGAGCTGTGACAGAGTACTTCAGGGCCCTGGGAGCGGCAGAACCATGGAGGGAATAGTGGACCAGGATCCTTATTCTTGGCTTTTTCAAGCTTAATTTAGACCAAAATGACTTTTAAAAAAGTCCGCAGCAAATTTCCGGAAACGGATTCGGTATCAGCAAAAATTCTGGCACAAGATGCACTTGGTCCCGAATCGAAACTCCAACTTGAGTAAAAACACTTTACAGTTAGCATTGTTCCAGCGTCCCAGTTAACGATTCCTTATACATTCCCTATTGTTTTTACTCCGTCCCGTTTTCCAAAGAAAAACCATAGCGCAGGCTAAATTCCGACAAAAACGTCTGGCTCAATTTATATAAAATGCCATCAAACTCCCATGAATTATTGTAAAGGACACCTAAATGTGTGCAGAAGCAGCGCTACCAAAGCCCTCCGAACCGCCGATTTTCAATTTGCATCCTTGATAAGCCTGTTGTTCAAATCCCAAAATCAAATCGATTTGGTTTGAGTTGGCCGCCCCTAAATTCAAATCAAATCGTTTTGATTTGAAGTTGTTTCTCACGAAGCACTCAGAATTTGCTAATTCAAATCAAATCAATTTGGAAGCCGATTTGATTTGAATAAGCGCCACTCTACTAAAAACCTAGAAATGGCCGTTCAGCGAGTCGGTTGGCCGTCAAAAAACGCGGGAGGCCAAGCGAAAAGAAAGAAAAATGAATAGCCGACCTTGCCGTCGGATGGTGGTGATGAATCGGTGAGTAAGACTGGCGAATCGGAGGTGGCTAGGGCTAAGCTTTTTTTTTTGGGGGACACAGAATCCTATGGCTAGACGAGAATTCGCGGGTGTTAGCTGATCAGAAGAAGCCAGATTACCAACAAAAGTAGCTTTTAATCAATCAGTCATAGCAAAGAGTTTTCGAAAGGTCGCGACGAGAAAGCGCTGGAAAAGTAGGTACTGGACTATTAACGGGGGTTTAACCGTGGCCTAATTTGCCCGTAAGGTCCCAGAATGAAAAACACGCAATTTAAATCGGTTTTTAAGGAATTTTATAGCTAAAAAATGTATAAAAACACTTCGAAAATGGTCGACCTTTTGGCCAAGGTTAAAAAATGACAGAAATAGCAATATTTATGTTTTTCAATTTTTAAAGTGGTTTAATAAGTATTTAAGAACCAAGAACTGGTAAAAATATTGTATAGCGCGAAAAACCACCCCCGCTAACAGTCCAGTACCGGAAAAGTATAACGTCACCGGTGTCACCGCGGGCTCTAGCTATAGTCTTTTTCGGCGCGTAATAGAATGTGCGGGGGCTGTGGGTCGGGCTTCAGAAGAGGAGGAGGCTCGGCTCCTTCTCTCTTCTACCCTCCACATCGATCCCGACCCCTCCGCCTTTTTCTTGATCCCTAGCTGACGGGCCCTTTTCGGGGGTAGACGACTTCATTCTGAAGAACTGATGGACGGGGCTCTTCTTTTGCTGTCTAATTCTCTGGGCACTAAATCTAGCTTTGTCGCTCTGGCAAAAAAAGGGGAGCAGCAGCTTTGTGCGAAGTGCTATCCAATGGGTGGTACTCAATGGGGGATTGGTGTCTTTTTTCACGCGAAAGCCTAGGACTTCACTTGCATTTTAAAAGGCTCGGATGGATTAAAGACAAAAGATGAAAATTTTACATGGATTTTCGTGAATTTAGAGACCGTAGTTTTCCCCTAAATGCCTTGCCATGTTATAGCCAGTATTTTCATAGCGTTTTTAATAAAATGTAGCTTAATTCAAGTGGAAAAGCTATCTAGAAAACGTAAAAATTGTTGACATTTTGGTCGAAACATCGAATTCTTGTATTTTTAACAAAAATTGCATAATTTTAACGTTTCGGAAACGCATTAAAACGTGAGAAACGCTTGCCTTTTCTGCATACGGAAAAATCGGATAACCCCCGCTCCCCCCCTCCGATAACGCAAAAGAACCAAACATGCCCTTTAGTTGTACTTTAAAAAGTGAAAATTTTTAAAATCAAGAATTAAAGCAGAATCCTCTCTGAAAAGCTAAAAGGAGATGGAATAATCCCGGTGGGGTACGGAACCATGACACGAGACAGGGATGCCTCCTAATTATGGCCTTCGGGCACTTGTCACACAGCGGACGTTTCCCTCAAAACGGACGCAATTACCCTTGACAGCCCGATGGGGAGAGCCGTGTCGAGGAGCCACACGGAATATCGGGGGGGTAGGTGGATGGGTTCGTGTAACCAGATTCATCGCAAGCGTCCACTTTACCCTTTCGCTGCTTGAGTTTACAAAAAAAGTCGGCGAAATTAACGCGGTTACACCGAAGAAGAAAGTTTGATTTGAAATATGAAAAATTTGAAGGTAAATTGGTACTCGTCTCTGTTAGCGGGGGTTAGCAGGGGAAACGGACTTTTCCGCGTATATCCGTATGGCCATATAATAAATTTTAAGTTTTTTTTATAACTTTCTAGCAATCAAAGTAAAACTACTAAAATACTACAAAATACAATAGATATGTAATAAATAGTGTGGAAAAAATTAGTGTCCCCCCGCAAACAAACCAGTACCTCTTCTTACAGTTTTTACGCTTCCTCAATGTAAAAATGTTCCAATTTTTTTTGTGAAAAATACAAAGATTCGGGGTGTGATATATGGCTAATAGTGAAAATAGATCTAAAGATGACGTGGAAAATGCGCGTCAAAATGGGACGATAAATGGCGGGGGTGTCGAACCAGCTGGAGATCCCGATGCAAATCTCACATCGGATTGATTCTCGGGGGCGAGGACAAAGAATTCGGGCATTGCCTCTTTCCACTGTCCATTCCATTCCATTCCAATCCATAGCCATCCATCCATCCGGCCATAACAACATTTCGTGAAGACCGGAGACGACCGAGGTGTTCAGGCGGAATCCCGGCCCGGGGAGAGTTGTTGTTTTTATCGGGGCAAAGTGGCTGATGGGATAGTGGACTATCAGGCGGTGGGGGATACAGATTTGCAGGATACATTACACGATTACTAAACAAAAAAACTACAATTTTTATGCGAAAAAGGTACAAAAATATA